TAGTGGTAGTAGTGGTAGTAGCAGTAGTAGTAGTAGTAGTAGTAGTAGTCGTGGTGGTGGTAGTAGTAGTTATAGTACTAGTAGAAGTAGTAGTAGTAGTAGTAGTAGTAGTAGTAGTAGTAGTGGTAGTAGTAGGAGGAGGCGCAGGAGGAGGAGGAGGAGGAGGAGGAGGAGGAGGAGGAATGGCAGTTCTCAGTAGTGTTTGTATGCAGGGTGTGTGCATTTGCCTTCGTCTTTGTCATATTCAAATTCTTTACGGATGATTGCTGTCTGCTGCCTCCCTGCCTGCCTGCCTGCTGCCTGCCTGCCTGCCTGTGTTGCGTCTGGCTGTTTGTATCTGTGTTTCTGCGATTCTGATGAAGTAGGTTGGAGTTGCAGTGCGGAGAGGTGGACGTGTACGTGACTTCCGACACCAGCAAAGCTTTCGTCATCGATCGCAAGAACATCCGAGAGGGAGGTGAAGCGTCTTGGCTGTATCTGAGATTGAGATTGTTTGCGCGGGGGTTCACCGGAATCGCCCATCTCTGCAGTACCAGTACAAGTATGCAACATGGCAACAGGCAGTCTCAGAATGTCTCCTTCATCCACAGACTGCAGGAGCACGATCCAGACTGAACTAGTTGAGTTTATTATAGTGTATGGAATCATCAGCTGAGGAGTGGTGTCCGACCATCCAATGGCGCGTGCCTGCCAATTCGCTACCTGGCGTTTGGCTAATTGAGTCCGACAGGCTTTTGGCACCGCTATGCACTGCCCAGGATCATCGATGGCAGTCCATCTGGAGCTTCCACTGTCGGCCTTATTCAGGAGCACTCGGTGGGATCTCGCTGTGGTTTGCTCATGGTAAGTTGCGATGCGAGTTGAAGCTGGAGGGAATTTCCTTTGCTGGTGCCTCTGCATTCCAAGCCGCAAAACTTCATTGTCTTCCATGACCTGTAGTCTCGTTTCCTGCCACAAAGATTTTTGTGCTTGTTCTTAATTAGGTACGAGCGAGCGGAGGGTGTTTCTGGTTACGGCGCGCACATTCGCCGTCGTGAGGGTTGCCTGTCATTGACAGGAACCGTTGAGTGAAGCATCAGAATGCCATAACCGCTGTGCTGTAAAGGATCTACTGCAATATCGCTCTTGATATAGGCTTTGGTTGTTGAAATTCCAGTAGGCAACCGTGAATTAGTGTCGGTGCACAAACATCGCAGGAAGTCGTAGTGCAGGGGTGGAGGGGGGGTAAATCGGCGTCTGGCTTTTTCCCGGTACTTTTCTTACCCTTACTTATGCTATGTATCTACTCCATGCCGGCCTTTTGAGTTTTGTGGTGAAGCTGGTCAAGCTCTGTGGTTCAGGAGCGGATTCTTATCGCAAACTTCCCTGCGGACGACTTCATCAAACCTGGAAACTTGGCTTGCACCTGACAGTTCCACAGTAGGCTCAGTAGAACAGGAACGGCCCCTTCTTTCGCACTGTGTCAGTGGTGGAGCGACTGCACATCCGGATGGTGAGCAGGATGCTTCTATGATATCGCTTTCGAAGAAGGCACGGCTCTTAGTTGAATCTTGCCGGTAGCATGGAGGGTTCCATCGAGCGAGCCTCCATCCTGCCATGGCAATCGCTGCAGGTTTGTTCGTTACGGAGGACACGCCGTCGAAGGTCAATCCTGAATTTCGGATGCTTATCTGAACAGCTCTAGTGAAGGTTGGATTGCCAGACTCATCAATGCCAACAGGCTTTGCAACGATTGAGGTGGAACTTCAGCTACATTGATCCGTCTCCAGTGCGAAAAGTACTTCAGGTAAGTTCACAGGACCACTTGGGCTCGCGGCTTGTGCGCGCCAGTTCAGTGCAATCACAAGACATGCCCTCTGCTGCGATTGCAGCTTATAGAAGGAAGTAAAGGATGACGGCATAGAAGTGACCTTCCTTGCTGCTCAGACGCAGTGGTGCTAGGTAATGCTGGGGACGGCATCGGCCCTTGTCAATCTGTACCTGGATTGATGTAGGGCTGCCGGTCGTAACCCACCACATCATGCAGTTTCTGTTACATGTCTGCCCAAAGCTGACACGCAAGGTTCAATATGACCTGGCATCAGAAATCAACTGCTGCCCGACCCAATACGGCATGCAAGCTGTTTGCCGTTCCGATATGCGTGACATCTTGTCATGCGTTTGTCTGGCGACTAGCGCAAACTTCAAGAAACACTTTCCTTGCAGGCACCGTTGCAGCAGTGGAGCCGGATGCAGTGCCGTTGCGGGTGACTGGCCGGGTCGCTACGGGAGCGTTGCGGCAGCCGATTTACAGCAGCGACATCAACAGGATGCTCACAGAACGCCATTTTCGATGTCAGCATGCAAGCAGATAGAACTTGAGTGCTGGCGTAGGACAGCTGGTGAATACACGGTCTTCGATGACACGGCTTTCAGTTTCAGTGTTCCGGCTCTGGTGCCGAGCAAGCAGTGCCCCTGGAGAGACAGGTTGGCGTTGGCAGACGGCAGACGTGACATGTCTGTTGCGCGAGGTACACCATCAACTGTGACGGATGGAAACGCTCCAAGCCCTGGGTTCCTGTGGTATGCTCGAACTTTCCGGAGGCGTGTCCGGATATTAGCCACTTGGCGCTCTTTCATCGTGCAGTCTTCCTGCCTGAACTTTGATCTTACAGTCTTACATGCACTGAACGTTCGAGGCTTCACCACGCTGGCTGACACCCGTGGCAAGTCTCAAGTTAGGTTGCTTCTCTCTTGCTCATCTGATGGTTTTGCCGACAAAGGTGCAGATCTGCAGTCTATTGGCATTCTGAAGGTGGCATTGTGTTCCGATGGCACGCAGGCGAGATGGGTGTGGCCATTAGCAGTGGCTGCATTTGCCTTTTCGCGCATTGCACGCTCACGAAATCTTCTCACCTGAAGGTCACGATGTCATCGTGGTTTGGCTGCAATGTCTGGGTTCGCTTGCGTCCCTGGTTTGCAACCGTACTGCTCTCGCTCCCTGTGTGAGGGAGATTCAGACGTTCGAGCAAGTGGCAACTGGGATAGTGATGCTGCTTTCGCAGCACGAGCGTGTATGCGCCTGGAACCGCAAAGCAGACGAGGAATCGGAAGCAGTCTTGTCGTGCTGCGTAGACTCCGAGCTCGGTTCCGGCCCGAGACACCCGTGCATTGGCAGAACTGGGAGCGGCTCCGAGGCGGTGTTGAGAAAGCAGTGGGCGAGGTTGCCGACACCGACGTGAACTTTACGGCTGATGACTCAGGAGAGCAGCGGCTCGGGAGGTGTCGGACTGCGTGTGGCATGGCTCGACTGCCGAGGTTGCTCCAGTATCAGACTTCGCTACCATGCACCTTGTTTCACAGACATCAAACCCAGCTGCATCGTAGGTTCGTCCTAGCCAGGCGGGAGGCAGGCAAAAAACCCTGGAGCTGCCTATGTTTCTGTGTTCGAGGACGTACAACAATCCAGAGTACGAGTTCCACAACTTCTCGTATGAGAAGCAAGCTGATGGCGCCAGACTACTGATGCTGACTTCCACTCTGGATGTCACGGTCTGCTCTCACGCACATTCCACCGTTGATGCCACGACTTATCCCTGCACGAATTATGTGGGTGCCTTATGCGGGCCAAGTGAGACTTAGGCTGGAGACGTGCTTAAGGGGGCGTTGCAGTGGCTAAGGCTTTCAACGTGTCCTTCACGGATACAAAGCTGGCCATCTTGAAGATAACTGTCACTCCGGCCAGTGGTGGAGCGTCTTACTCGGTTGAGGGAGCCGGCTCGGAGATCATAGCTCGGAACGGTCACTGAGCCAGAAGTTCGAGAAATTTTGAGTCTTTGTGAAAAGCCTGCGCCGAGCTAGTCCTGTTTCCTCCGCTCATGGCAACGAGCTCAGGTGACGAAGTTAAGTTTGACATGGAGAAGGATCCTGTCACGCAGTTGACTGACATCAATGTTTCTTTGGGCGGCTCTACCTTTTTTCCGCAAGTGACCTCGGTGCCCAGTGAGCTTCTAGCCTCATTCAGATGGGGTACGTACATCCGCGTCCTCTGTTCCCGAGATGTTTGCATGGGCATCGGCCCCATGAGAGCCAAGGTTCGTTATGATGACAAACATCGAGGGGCAGGGACTGTCACTGCCAGCTACGAACCTGCACCAAGATCTTTGGACGGTGAGGGACAAACAGAAAGGCCTTCATGAGGTGATTCGAGCCCTGTGCTAACCCGAGTCCGTAAACTGGACAAACACGACTAAGGTCAAGATGAAAATGAGTGGCTCGACTGCACAGCATGCCCGAAAGCATGTCTGTTTCCACATGATTCTGTATGAGGTGGGGTGGATTTCGATATGGCTCCTTGTCTCCTTGCGTTGGAAATAGCAGCAAATAGCAGTTATTTTGGGGAGCGGGCGTGCTTGCGAAAGCCTTCCCTGCGACAGCCAGGAGTACAAGATCACCTTCCAGACTCCCGACGTGACCCCGCAAGTTTTGACACCAACCTTGACAGCCTCGGGGCAGAGCCGGAATCTCATGACTGAGCCCTGGCCGCAGCTGTGCGTTAGGTTCGCACATATATCTGGTAGAACTTAGCCAGGAACCTGCATGGTTTGGCGGGCTGCATGCGACTCCTCTAAACTGAGGTTCTGGGCAACGTGCCGACGACAGCGTCTGTCATAGCACAGGTGGGAATGCCAGCGGAAACCCTGAAGCTAGTCGGTATGTGAAGGGGCCATTGCAGGAGCTTGTAATGAAAACCAAAGAAAGATCGAGACTGAAACACCCCAACCGAAGAAAGACCGAAGACAGCAGAAGGAGACCTGCCCGTGCTTGCAGGTCAGTAACCCAGCGGACTTCATTCGACTCAGCCTCCGGAAGGTTGGCGAGGAGACCCAAGAACCGCCAGGATTTTGCGAACAGCAACTAGGACCTTGAAAGCTTTCTGTGGCAGACTGTGTGCACAGTCTGTGGCACTGCATGATCTAGCAGATTCCGTCGCGCAGCTTGGCTTTATGTCAATGAGGCAGATCTTCGACGAAGGTTGGACGAAACTTGATTGTGTCGTCACGCTGACCCCTCTGAAGAAAGAGAGCCTGGTGCTGGAAACTTGGCGACTGCTGGCCTGGTGACACAAGTGAGGCCAAAGTGTGCAGGTCCTTCAAAACTTCGTTCGTGGACCCAGGAAATGCAGGTGAAGAACTTCACTTCCACACTATGGCAGCTTGCAAGCGACTTTTCTATGACCGGGCAGGTTGACTTCCAAGCGCCTTGGCTCAATGCTGTGAAGCCACCCGGTGGCGCCATAGTTCCGCAATTCTGCGCTGTGCCGGGGCTTGGACCAAGGCGCCAACAGTGACCGGTTTGTTCACGAGAGATGCGAGTGGGGCGCAGTCGAACGGCGTCGTCGTGGAGCAGGTCCTTGTATGTCTTGGAAACACACCGAAGCCGTAGGGGAGCTGGGGAGCCCAGCGTTCAAGAGCCTGCAGCAAAGGTCATGACATCGGATCCTGTCTTCTACCTCCAGGGCCAAAACTTTGCAAGGCTCCCGAGAAGATGTCTTCACAGTTCAAGCAGAGTGTTGACTACCCTGAACAGTCTCATGGACCTTTCGCTGACCTATGTGGACTCGAAGATTTATCAGCTTTGGTTGGTGCTAGATCGGGCTTCAAATTCAAGGCTCTTGTTCTGCACCTCGGCTCACCGGAGTGGACTATGCCTGAGAGTCCAGAGATTTGCTCGAGTTTTATGCTGCACCCTGCACATTTCCTAATTGGGTCTTCGCATGTCTTCCGTAAAGTTTGAGGCTCCTCTGTCGAGTACGTGTCGGACACAGAGCTGCCGCTGGACTGCTTTCGGAGTTTCTGACGACCTGTTAGAGTCTGTTAGAGGGCGCTTTGGTATTCGTGTGGGTTATTGAGTGTGCATCCCAGCCATGCTTTATATGAATGAGTGTTGGAACTAGCATGCAAGACACCCTGACGAGAAGCTCGGCGTGTAACCATGCGACTTTGCTCATCTGCCGTCGGATGAGACAGTTTGCTGCCGGCCCACGTCACAAGTGCAAGCACGCAGACAGGCTAATAATTATGTACGGCGTGTTTGTACTTTGGGTTTAGAGTCGGGACTTGAGCCACTTGGTATTATGATAACCCAGAAGCTGCAGAACGACCTGTGCAGCAAGTCCACAGCCTCACAACGTTTTACCAGCGGTTTGTCAAAAAGGCGCTCTCGCCGGAGTTGTGGTACGATAAGAAGTATAGGATGTCTTGTGGTTTCTGCCTTTCCTGCATCCCACACATTTTGCTCAAATCTGGACTTTTCCATCTCAGGAAGTGTTTCATTACATCGTGCTTGGATGCACGCAATGTCCCAGCGGCTCCAGAAGTTGTCCTTCAAATTGGTGATCTCGAGTCCACTTCCGTAATTGGTGTCGGCCTCGGAAAGCGTGGATGATCTTGGGATTGGGAGCTGCGGAGTTACACTCAGCCTTCTTGGAAGCAGGACAACTGACGCTTCCACAGCCCCAGATCTCGACCATCACCCCGGCCACTATCTTCGATGCTGGCCCGGGGCTCCGCGTGTAATGCCTCAACCAGCTCCATGATCATCTGTTTGTCGTCAGGCTACTCGGAGATTGAGATCGAGGGCGTCTCCTTCGGCGAATTCCTGGCTGCAGATGGCGACTTCCAGGAGAGCCCGCGTAGAGTGGACTGTGCCGGGGCCGGGGCCGAGGAAGCGAAGTTAAGTTGTGCTGTTCCGCGCGGCCCAGGCGGCCTGCCTCTCGTGGCAGACGAAGCTGAGCGGCTTGCTGGCGGCAGACTCATCCAGGCCTTTAAGACAACTTGCAATTTTTGCGGCACATGTGTTGTTTGAAGACTCAGGAGGCTGAGCTTGGCGGACCAGATTCCAGCTCTGCAGATGCTGGGAACGGCGAGCGTAACTGTCGGTTTGGCAACCTGCACTGTTCAGGCCGGGCCCTGACTGTTCAGGCTACTGCGCAGCCGCGCAGTGCTTGGAGTCTCTTTACATGTGCAAGGTTCAAAACAACAGCTACGTGAAGTGTTCGATGACCAGCCCTCGTCGGGCATCTCGGGAAGCTCCGGCAGCCGGCGAACTCTTGGGCAGGATCATCTCCGAGCCCCTAAGCTTCCGAAGATGCGGAGCGCGAGAAGCGGGATGAACTGCTTTTTTTCGCGACCGCTCCTAAATCAGTGCAGCTGAGGAATGTGGATGCCCCCTGGATAACATTCAAGTTCCCCTCATGGCCGTAGACGTGAGGCCCGTGGACTGGCTCAGGTAAACGTGATACTGAAAGTGGGGTCGCTCGAAGAGACGAACAAGCCGGTGCTACCAACACAGATTTCCCAGTGCGAGCAGGACTTTGAATCAGAGGTATTCAGCGGTACGAGCGAGAGAGAGATTGCAGGGGCATAGTCGCAGTCATCGTCAAGCCGCGTGAGCGTATTCTGAATGAAGCTTCTCGCCTTCGTGAGGAGGGGTACTTTCGACCAAGCGAGGAGACCGGGCAAGCGAAGTTTCCATGCGTTGTAACTTGAGCGGCTGTTGTTTCAGCTGGAGGGCCTCCAGTTGACTAGGTGCAAGTCTTGCCCATCTCAGTTTGCATTGAGCGTGGAAGCAAACTTCTTCCGTACCCCGTCATCTTGCATGATCTTCCATCAGCCTTTGCACATGCCGTCCTTCTTGTGTTTAGACGACATTTTATGGTGTAGAATTGCACGAAGCCGTCCGAATGGTGCACGTCCAAAGCATGGTGGTTAACGGGCTTGCGTTGAGTTCTGTTTTTTTTTTCATTTGCCTGTACCTGCAGTGTCACCAATCTGCCAGCTACCCAAAACCTACTCAACGCCCGTATTTGCTACCGCGTGGATGCAAGAGTCCTTGCAAATGATGTGTGGCTGCATCAGCTGTTGCCGCCCCACCCCTGTGAGGACAGTGATTCCTGCGAGCCTTGTCCGAAGGGCACGTATTCCAACCGGTTCTCTGATCAATGGCCCCTGGGGTGCACCTTCTGCCCCTCTACGTCATATCAAGATCAGGCCCGGGCATTCGTCGTCCAGCAGATTTGTTCAAGCTCCAGCTCTTCCTTTCAGGTGGGGCAGACGGCGTGCTTGCCATGTCCAGCAAATACCTTCTCGGTTCCGCCGGCCGTTTCGTTGGAAGACTGCCGCTGCAAGAAGGGTTACTTCTCACCGGTTTATGATGCGAGCCAAACGTATGGCAAGCCGGGTTATGCTTGCGTGGCGTGCCACACCGAAGACTTCACGAAGCTTTGCTGAAGCTTGAAAGTTCGAGAGACAGAGATTTCCGACTTACGGCTTACGGGCTTGCGGCAGCTGTTAAATCATTAAGGACGCAAGCCATGGACGACGAGCCCTGCTCCGTCGACGTTCAGGGAACACTTTGTGACGAGCCCGTGTCGCAGGTTTGCGTGCCGAGGGTGACGGGCTCCTTCGACTATCGGCTTTGCATGATCTACTGCGCTGGTGGGACCATGCTGCCGCTGGCGAAGCCGTACTTCTATATCTCCAAAGCTCAAGCGGCTACCAACACTCAAAATCCTGGCGTCGACGAGTACAAGCCTGTCATTGAAAGCTGTCTACCCTCGACAGCATGCTTGAATGTAGCTTCTCTGCAGTGTGGCCCCGGAGAAGTATGCAGACAGTGAACTTCTGCCGGTTCCGCAATTTTGTCATCATCCGAGGGAAACCAGTGCAACACCGGTTATGAAGGTCCAAACTGTGGTTCCTGCGTGTTCGGATACTTCCAGGACATGGAGTGCATTGTTTTGAGTTCTCTGCCCATGTTTCTGCTGTTCCTGCACTGCAGGATCCGGAGTCAAACGTGTGCACTCGATGCGGCGAGGATCAGGTCCTCGGCACTCTGATCTTCAGTGCTCTCGGTATGATTGGAACCTTTGGAGCCTTCTTCATATCGCTCCTTTACCTGAGCCTTGTTTGGGCAAGGAATGCGTGGGCGGGGAGAGCAGTGCAGGGAGCAAGGCATCCAACGTTTCCAAAGCTGCCAGTTACTGTTTGCAAATCTCAGGAAAATGCTTTCCGATCCTATCTTTAAGGGTCAGATCAAGCTCTACATCGCACGCCGCTGGTTTGCAGGTTCTTGCCGACCTGCGAGGGAGATGCCGCAGAGATGCTAAGGCAAAGTCGTGGATCGCATGAAAGCAGCTCTAGGAGGCGGTGGAGGAGGCGGTGTTTCTCCTGCGCTGTTCTGTCCTTGCTGAATGGTGCGGGATGCCATTTTTTATCTCAGGGTCTCATCTTGAGAGAAGTTCCACAGACATGACAGCGTCCTTTAGGTGGTGGCAATCCATTGATGAAAATGATCGACAAGTTTCGCTTTAAGCGTGTGACCTTGATCATCCGCAAGCAAGATATCGCAGGCCCATGCCCCAAGTGCACATTACCTGTCAGAGAGAATCACATCAGAGCTGTTGTGCGCGGTGCTTCCAGGATACTGGCCGTATTTCCAGAACAAGGACTTAGGCTTCGTTTTCCGTGTGGACAAGGATCGCACCATCCACGTGGCCGGTGTACGACCCGAGTCGCCCGCATCTCGCCTTGGCATCTCCCACTCCTGGCGGCTCCTTGTCCTCAACGGCAAGCACCTCCGCGCTGACACTGTGCCTTGCCTGCCCTCATGACCTTGTGCTCCGCATGCAGATCATCTCCTTGCTAACTTTGCCGCGCTGAGGAGCAGGTGGCTTGGTGTTGCATGGGATGAATCTGGAAGTGCAAGCATGCCATGCAGTGCCGGACTGCTTCAAGTCATGCCTGAGGACGTGCAGGATGCGCTGTCCAGTTGCAAGCTGCCGTGCCCTGGCCGCAGCCTGTGACGCTGTCTACGGGTTCGATGTGCCTCAGCAGAGCAAGGATCTACTGCCTCTTCCGAGCTCCTCGCGCAGAAAAGGGCGACGATGAAGCCGAGCTCGACACATCAGATGCGAAGGTTGCTCGGCGAAATGGATGGGGTCTGGAAGATTGCCGTTCAGTTCCTGCCGTTCAGGAACTGAGTGCCTCGGGGGTGCGGCTCATCACCATGTCTCTGTCGATCATGCAATCCTTCAATGGAATTGGTCGGATTGATCTGGAATGGCCGGCGCCTTGTCTGCAAGCGACGCTTGGGACCTGCCACCTCTTTTTCCCTGCAAGCTTTCGCGGGCTTGCTTTTTGGAGCATCTTGTCGCTAGTTTGCTGAGACATGTACTGGAACAGGAGACATCTGAGAGCTGGTTGGTGAGGTTTGTGCGGTTGTTGAAGTCTCGGCGTCGATGTTGAGGGTTGATGCACGCTCAAAAGGTGGAGTTAAATAGTGGTACTAATGCATTGCCCTAAGCCCGGAAGAAGCGGAAGAGCGTACAGGAGCTATTCACGAAGATCATGGCGGTGATAGCCAACCTGTCCTTCAACTTCAACTTCTTTCAGCCGGACTGCAGTGTAGCGAGTCCTTACTGGCAGACCTGGGTCATGCCACGAGGCTGCAACTAGCTGCCTTCCGGATCCAATGATTGAGCAAGCTTTCTGTCTCGATTGCAAGCAGCCTGATCTGGAAAGACTTTCAACAGCACCTCGTCATGAGGTTTACCATCATGCCTTATGCCTTGATGTTCCCCATCACGTGTTCATACCTTGTCGTGAAGTACCTCTCATTCCGCGAAAGCCGTGGTGACCCGCAGTACCGAGCAGCTTGGACGGAGAATCAAGACTCGGAAACCTCTGTTAGCAGAAATTCTTCACACTTCGTAGGTTCCTGTGCCTCTGAGGAGGTGCAGGGGTGGCTGCTCCTCAACGCTTGGGGTAGGGCCATGCTGACCATCCTCTTGCTTTTCATCCAGCAGCACATGACGCAGTTGAGCATTCCTTTCCAGTGCAAATCCATGGCGGATGGCTCTCAAGTGCTCGTGGCTTCGCAAGATATTGTTTGTACCCTGGCTAGACTTACAAGGGAAGAAAATTCCAAACAAGCCCTTTGCATTTTCTCTGCACAAGTACAGTTCACCCCACCCACACGTCTGCAGACACTGGCGACAGGCGACTTGGCGGACACCAACTACCAGCTGCTTTTCGGAATCGCATCACTGGGATGGTTTATCTTTGGCTCCGGTTTCGCCGTTCTGAACGTGTGCCTGTATTGGAGCTACCATTGGCAAGCAGGGACGAAGACGCGAAGCTTGGCCGAACGCTCTTGGGGCTTTTGCCTGGTAGCCCCAATTCCGATTCTGTGACTGGCGTCAGGCGACCGCATCCCAATCTACGTCGCGGCTGTCGAGATGAGCGTGGAGAATATGAGGCAGGTTCTGTTTTGAATGCTTGACCGACACCATGTCTACCTTTTGAGCTGCAAGGGGCTGGGTGGAAGCCGTGCGCCTGCGGGTTTTCAGCAGCTTTGCACAAACGAGTTCGCCTTCGCATGCCATGGAATGCCGTAGTTGTCTGGAAGTCTAGATGGATTGATGTATAGAACTAGCATATCTGGCAAGTGAGTTTGCTGTATCCGAGACAAGTCTGCAAGGCAACATTGTGGCGGTCCGCACTTACCCGACTGGGAAGGATACCGAGGCAGCAGAGAAGCGCCAGTTGATGGAGGCCGGTTCTTGGAATGTCGGCTTCAGACTTACCCGCAAAGCTTCGTGGCTGGAGGCGAAGATGAAGCAACGAGGTGCTGCTGTGGTGCCTGATAAGCCGGGAAAAGACTTGAACAAGGCATTGGCCGACATGCGGCGGCGCAAGGCCACGCTGGAGGACACTCCGGGATCGCGGGTCTCAGCAGTCGTGGACATCGAAGGGCGCTTTGAGTGCATTTGAGGACGAGGTGAACCTCAAGGAGATCAAGCTGAAGTGGAAGAACAAGGAACGCTTCACAGAGAAGGGGTCGTGGCCAGACCAACTGGATGGCAGCTATCTGACCTATGGTTGGGTGCTCATCTTCAGTGCTTTGGGCCGCAGCACGCAACCAGGTGAGCCTTTTGTTCGTCATCCTTTTTGTAGCACCAGCTGCCGCGGAAAAGAATCTGTCGCGTGAGTTTCAAGCGAAGCGAGAACTCCAGGCAGCTTCTTTCGCCAGTTTGCCTTGATGCTCTCTGCGCTGATGGCCGTGGAATTCCCACCCTTCGGGGCCGCTGCACAGTCTCTGGTCTTCATGATCAACTTCGCGGCTCCTCGGACAGCAGCCCCGGGGCATGGAAGCCGTTCCCCAAACTTTGAGACTTTTTACCCTAGGCTTTGATCCTCTTGTTCCCGTACACGGCCAGACTCCTGAATATTGAGGTGCGAGTGTTCGCGTTTAAGCTATCCGTTCTGTGGTGCCAACAGCTAATCTTGGATGTTTGCCTTGTGGCCAGGAGTCGGTCCTCACAGGCTGCATGGCATTCCTAACTTTCATGGCCGCTTTCAAGGATCTGCTCCACCAAACAGTGAGCCGAGCTGTGATGCATGGCACGGCTGTCTTGATTTACGCAGGAGATGGTTTCCAAGCACAACAAAGCCTCGCAATACCAGTCCACCATCGATGCCACAAGCCTCCTGACGATATGCCGTGGCAACCATTTTGCAGGAGAGCTACTGTCAGACGGATCCGTGATTCAGGCACGCTGATTGACGTGCTGGTTCTTATCATCGTGACGATCATCAGTGGCACCATGGTCTTTAACGCCTACATCATCATTGGCCCGCGCCTTACTTGTGCAGCTTGAGAAGCCGGTCCAAGAATTTGCAATCAAGGTGGGGCTGTCACGACGGAGTCGGACGACCAAATCTTGAACAAGGCTTATTTTGAGACTGCCATGCAGCACCCGGCCAGCATTGGCACCCTTTGGAATGCTCTGCTGCGATGCTGTGCTGTGTTATGCTGCGTTGCTAATCCGAAACTCGAGGCAAGAGCGGCTCCGTGAGGAGGAGGAATGCGGCCGCTTCCATCGCCAGGTGGAGGACGGACCTGGGCCGTTTTGGGATTCTCTGGGTGTGATGTGGTGTGCCACAGTTTCGGCATGCAGGAAGAAGCCAGGGACGAGGAGGATGCACATGAGGCTGCCTTCTGGAACGACCCCTTGCAGGCTGCAATCTGAACAACCTTCTTTCGGAGTTGTGTGTTGCCCGCAGGGGTGGTCTTTTGGGAAGCTTGTTCCAGAATTCCGTCAATGGTTTGTCTTGACCAACCGTTCGCATCACCAGACAGTTCTTTGCCTGTGAAGGCAGTCGAGAAGGAATGCATTGGACTGAAGTTGCGTCCTGGCAGCGGTTCGTGCGTTGTTTTGTCGTGTGCCATTGCCAGGCCGGCGGTAGAGCTGGAAGAGCATTGGTTCAAAGATGTCCTAGCTTCAGTGCTTCTTTCATATCGTGCCTTGCTTGCCTCAGGATACCGTTGCCAGATTCCGAAGCGACAGAACTGGACAAGTGCATCAGTATCCCGTCTCATGTGACATGTTGTGAGAATCCCGATCGTGGCTTCTTGCCACCCTGCCTCCGCTTGCCGCCCATCTCTCCTCAGCTGCCCGGGCTTCAGGCTCGATTACCAGCCCATTTGTGGAAGAGTTGCGGGAGAAGCGCGATGCCTTCGAAAGTGCCCCCCCCCAGAGGGCATGAGCAGCATGAAGCTTGTGATGATGCGACTTGAGGTACCATCCAGCAGAAGAAGGAGGCTCTCAAGACAAGGGAGCAGATGGAAGCTGAAGAACTGAGACAGCGCCCAAGCGGCAAAGTATAAAAATGATCAAGTTGTGAGATGCTGCATACGAGTCATACGAGTATGCGAAATGATGGCTGCAGCGGCTGCGAGTATTCTCGAGTGATAGGCACGTGTCGCGTGCGACGAAAGGGGTTCCACCTGTTTGGGTTTCGAGTCTCCCAAGTTCGATTACAGAGAAGCAGCGCATTCACAAAGTCCATTGCTTCAGAAAGAAGCAGCGCATCTTACACGAGGGTGGAGTGGGTGCGCTGCTGAGTGAAGCTCGTGTCGAGGATGCGATGGGAAGAGTTCCGACAGAAGAAGGCTGATATCTTCTGGACGGCTCGAGAGGCTGAAGAGCGCAACGCTATGTTTCACGAAGATCCGCAGCGTCTGCACGAGGCGGACATCCGAAAGCTGTCAAAGTGGTACTTCTACTGTACCTGATGGCTCTAGACTCCGTTTGACATGCTTTGCAGGCTTTCATGCAAGAGGCATTGCAGCTGGCAGAGCAGCACGAGCGTGACTGCATGGAACGAGTAGAGCGAGAACAGCGCGAGGCCGGCGTCAATCCTGCACCGGTCACACATACAAGTCTTTGAAACTCTCGTCCGTGTCTTCAGACTTCAGACTTCGGATATGCAGTTCAGCCTTCGCCAGGCTCTTCCACAGCCATTCTCATGATGGTCCCTTGAGGTTTTGGTTGCCTGCATTGTCCGGATCTCCTAAGACACCGATAGACCAACCTCCCGTCGACGGTTCAACAGCATTCGAAGCTTGCAGAAAAACAGCAGGAGGCAGGCCTAGGCGATCCGCCAGAGATGGGGAGGGCACGGGAGGTGGAGGAGTGGAACGCCGACCTGGAAGCTGCCGAGCGGGTGGCTATGGCAGAGGAGGATCTGCTGTGCGGATCTCAGCCTTCTGCTTGAGGTCGCAGGAGTGGAAACGAGCGTCCCACTGCGCCTCAGGTCTTTCGAGATCAGAGTTTGGGAGTCTCTCCATGCGCAGGAGGGTTCCATGCCTGCGGCAGCAACATACCCACTGAGCTTCTTCTGGAGGAGCCCGAGCTACGGGCCCGGGAGCTGCGGGACATGGCCAAGTTGGAGTGCCTCGCTGAGCTGCCCTAGGCTGTCGCATGCTTCTCGCGTCAGATTTCTGCAGAGTGGAGCTCAAGGTTCCGACAGCGCGAGGTGGAGGAGACGAATGCACGCCTTGAGGCCCGGGATGGCTTCAGCCCTGCCTTACTGTGCAGACTTGGAAGATCGCCTGATTTTGTGCGGTTGGGCTATGTTTCGGGCAGGACTTCGTGTGCATGTGGCAGTCGTTCAGGCGATGTTCTTGGACATGATGCAAAAGGAGGAGCAGCGGCAGAGAGCGGTGGAGGAGTGGCAGCCCGGATGCACGAGCTCGAGCGGTCTCCGTCCCCTGTCTCTCCCCGCGTCCCTCCATTTTAGTCCTTCGGTTCCTTCATCCAAGCTCCCGACGTTTTTCGGCCGAGGAATGGTCAGCTGGAAGCCCAGGCCCAGGAGGCCGTGCTGCGACCACTGCTGCGCTCTGCTGCGCTCGGCCGCGCTCGGCTCGCTGCGACTTTCCGACGGCTGTTTGTTTTTTTTTCGAGGCGATGGAAAGGGAGGAGGAGCTGCAACGAGAATACGACGAGTTCCTTGAAATCAGCCGCCTCCAGCATGCCGCCTGCACTTGTGTCCCCGAGATTAGTTCGAAAAAGATAGGAGGTAGGCTATGTGGCACAGCTGAGGATCGAGAAGGATCAGCTGAAGCAAAGTTGCAACTGGAGTCGTTGTGAGAGCCAGCTTGACGTAATGTTTCACCGCATGCGTGCATGCATTGTGCCAAGACTCCCCTGGCCACGCAAGGAAGAAGCTAAGAAAGGAGGAGCTCAAGCGCATGCAGAAGGACACGTTGACCTGCAGAGATCATCAAGACTACGTGCTTGTTATGGTGGAATTTGGGTTGAGCTCCAGGAAGAGAAGATCATGCGCAAGTACTTGCAGAGCCTGCTGGAAAGCGAGGACTGCGCGGAAATACAGATGCTCTGCTCTGAACGAAACCCTGAAGTTGGAAGCCCCCACGCCCCATACTATCACTATTATAGTCCTTGCTAAGTAGGAGGCAAAAATACTATTATAAGCACAGCTTGGCGTCACATCAATACGAATACGAAAACCGTATAAAGTCTCAGTGACGTTGCAAAGAGGAGCTCGAGCTGAGCCGCATGGCCTCGGAAGAGCAGCGGATGCGACAAGTCGAAGATCTCGCCTCGCAGCACCTGAGCTCCAAGCTAGCAGAGCAACAAATGTAACGAGAGTTGTTTGGGTAGGGTTATAAGTAGGGTAACTATAATTATAACCCATATTAGGAGACTTATAACCCCACTTATAACTACCCACTTTCTCTCGTCTTTCTCTTCAGCTTGCCGGCATCGACGGCGGTGCACAGCCTCCAACATGCCGGGGAGAGCAGCGGCGACAACCACGCTCCTTTGGTTTGTTCACCGTTGAATCCCTTCCACACTGACACGGCTTGCTAATCCGTGTCATTGGAAGAAACGGTTTCCGGTTCTGTGGGCTTTGTTGTTTGCCGTTGGTTTTGGAAGTACGCGTCTTATGGAACTTGAACATATGCCCTGTAGACAAGGCTGTGGTGTTTTGTTTCGCCTTGGGTGCACGGCTGCAGACAAAACCAGAAAGTCGCCGGCAAAGCCCCCCAAACAGCGCAGGCTTGAAATACAGAACCTTGAAGACATGCGCTGGGAAGAGCAGAGGCAGAAGGAGGCCCATCTGCTCGCTCTGCCCGCATGCGTGGTGAGTCAGATTCCGGGATCTATTGGGCCCATGTGATACACATTGCCATCATGCCTGCGTCGGTTCAGACGAGCACGGAACCAGGGCAGTCACAATGGCATGATCGGGGAGGTGCGGTATGTTAGGAATGGTTAGGACAGGCAGGCCAGGCACATCTCAAAATAAGCATGGCGAAGACAACAAGGCAGAAAGAAGAGCTCTCGTCGGCTGCGGCTGTTGGGAACAAACTAAGTAGACTTATCTCAGATGCATGGCAGTGTTGCCGTCACGCAGATCGCGGCCTACCTGGCCCAGCTCGAGAACGAGGAGCGCCACCGCATGGCGAAGGAGGAGAAGCGGACACGAAAGTTTCGGACGCCTGGATTCTGTGGCAGAGACCGGGTCCTTACGAAGATCACTTCTGAATCTTCTCACATCTCGAAAAAAAAAACGGGGTTCTGTCCAAGGAAGAAAACGCAGGAGCGGCTGTTGCTCGTGCTTGACCGAGCAGGCCGGCGTGGGATGAAAACTCTGATCGCTCCTTTGTGGTGGCCTTTGTTGAGGGTCCAGTTCAGGAATGGAGGTCAACGACATACGCGTCCAAGAGCATGTCGCGAAAAAGCTGCAGAGAGCTCCGTGGCCGGGTTTGGCTCTGCTTGTAATTTGTCCGCAAGTCTGGAAGCCTCCCGAGGAGCGGACGCGCATGGCCCAAGAGGACGAGGAAGGCAAGGAGCAGCGCGCGAGAGACCGAATAAGGTCCCTTTGCATGCAGATAGGCATAGACCACGCCGAGCATGATGTTGACATCTGTTGTGAAGGCTTGAATAGGCCCGTTGAAATTGTCCATCCCGAGGTTGGAGATTGAAGAAGAAGACCGAAAAAGGCGGCAAGCCCAAGCCGAGCGGGAGGTCACTTGGCCTCTGAAAGCAGGGCATCTAAGGCGAAGAGTCTCTGCCCTCAACCCAAGGAGATGGAAAGGCAGGCAGAGCAAGCAGAGGCCGAGGCCACGAGACGGCAAGTGGAAGCGCCCTGGAGCACTGCAGAGCTGAGCATCGAGAGCTTACCG